CATAAAGTAGATTAGTGGTTGCCAGGGGTTGGAGGAGTAGGGGATGAAGAGTGTCCATTTAACTGGTACAGAATTTCTTTGAGTTGATGAAAATGTTGTGGAATTAGGAAGTAGTGATGGCTGCGCATCATCGTGAATATACTAAAAACCACTGAATTGTACACTTTAAAATGGATAAAATGGTGCATTTTATGTTATATGAGTTTTATCTCAATAAAAAAACACAAAAACAAAAAACAACATACCACAGTAGCTCAGAAATTCTGAGGAAAAATAATTTGCCACGTCTTGGCAAACTCCATAACAGACTAGGAAATTATTCTATTAGAAGAGAGAAGCAAAACAGACAAACACTATCAAAGAACTAATAGCAGTAAATACAGTAACCTATATTTATACTACAACTATACTTGACCTATAATTAACATGCAGGTGAAATAGAACAATATACAAGAAATACAAGACAGTCTTATGAAAACAATGAATCAGAGAATCCAAGAATCTTAGGTAAAAACTATTAAAAGTCAAGACATATTTTAAGAAGTGGTTTAGGGCCCTTGGCCATCTCCAGAGCACTGTTTCTGAATCAGACTCTCCCAAAGGGCTTGAAAAATGTAGATTGCTGGGCTCCTAGTCAGTACAACAGGATCAGAACCTCTGCAGGGTGTGGTCAGGAATCTCAATTGTCAACATCTTCCCTCAAGACAATTTTTATGCACTTTTCAATAGGAAAACCACTTAGGAGGTCTAGAACTCAAGACAAACATCCTTATTTATTTATTTATTTTTACAACACTACATACAGACTATTTTATGTCAAAGTGACTATCAAGTGCATCCCTGATACGTCAAAAAAGCTTTTAAAGGCAGTGTCCTGACTGCTTAGAAACTGAAGTCACCTCCCCTTCGCTGGGGAATGAAGGTAAGAAGTGGCAAGGGAGAGCTGTGAGCTGGTTGAAATCTTGTCTCTCACTCTCCCAAAAAGTTAATTCCAAGTGCAGTCACTGTTTCACCCCATCTCAGAACTGGCTCTGGTCAGAAAAAAAGAGACTCACAAATTTTCATGATTCTAAACAGTTGAACATAATGTACAAGAATTAGATTGGTCATCTGTGAATTAGAATAAAAAAAGAGTCCTGATCTCCTAACTTACAGCAATGACTGAAAGAGAAAATGGATTCAAAACAGTTTGGAAATGCTGATGGGCAAAGAGAGAGAGCGAGACTTGGACATGTAAGAAGAACTGTTGCACAAATACAGCTCCGTGGTAGAGGCTGAGAACAAGGGCTGGTGTGGGAATGTCTGGCTTAAACTGGAGCTAGACTGTCACTAACTGGGTGACCTTGACCTGATTTGACTTCTCTGGGCCCCAGCGCCCTCATCTCTACAATGGGACAATAATATCTACCCTGTAAGGTTGTTGTGAGGACTAATGCTCTAAAAGATGTGAAGTGCTCATAACAATACCTAGTACATTACATATTTGCAATAGTTAAAAGTCTTTTTGTAAATCAAGATGGTCCCCCAAAGTTGCATTTTCTAAACCCTATAAGCCTTAAAGACGTTACTTTAAATGAGAATAGAGACCTTTTAAAACCTAGAAAGATTAGTTCTGTAGAGTCATATTCCCAATATCCTGCTTCATTTGCCTGAGTTCTTTGATTGCCTGAACACACCCACCCCTTACTTTCCCTTTAAAATCCAGTTGGAGGAATGATCAATAATAAAGGGAATGGTAATCTACCTCTCAAACTCCTTCTCTAGTATCTCTAAGTCCCTGATTATAAATGCTTATAATTTGTACACCTGGATTATTTATCATTGTTCACCCATAATTATACACCCACAATTGCATATTTCCATTAGTGGAAAAAAATCACAAAGGAATGCCAAATTTTAAAAAATGCTGTTGTCCTCCTGTATATCCGTTGAGTACCAGGCTTCAAGAAAATGTTTAGTGTCTGAATTCCTTTTTAACATACTTTAGAAAAAAAGAAGTATGAAACAACACAAAAATTTCTTAAAAACTGTCTTTCTTAGAACTATGAAAAGTAGCAGTCTCCATTTCAGCAGCCACCTTCACCAGGGAGAAGGCAGCTCTTGACTATCAGAAGAGGAAATCTAATGGTTATTCATTTCAGGTCCTGGCAAAAGCTATTTTTCTGAAGAAGATTTCTAATATTGATGCAGTTATCAGTCCCTGTACATTTTGGAAATCAGATACACAGTATAAAATCATTATCTAATTGATTCTTCCAACTCTTCTTTGAGGATCTCTAGTACCAAGTTAATTTTGTAATTTTACCGTCCAAAGGCAATTTTCAGGAAATTATGACTAGCATCAATGGTATTTCCACAATTCTGACCAAATTATCTAGTTTACAGCATTATGGAATGATAATCCATTTCATAATACTCAATGATATTAGCTCCAGAATTAGAGTAACTTTACCTCATGTGACACTACTGAAGTTTAAAGAGAATCAAAGAATATAAAACAAATATTTTCCACCTATTGAACCAAATACACAGTAACACATTATGAAGTACTGACTAGTAAGTTTTGCTTGCAACTGACCAGAAAAGGAAAAGGAACCCTTGGATGTATATAGTCCGGTTCCCTTCACTTGAGTCAGGCTCCTTGTTCTTCACACTACTATTATAATAACTGTTTCCATATAAGGGGAGGTCATTTAACTACTCTTTTCTCTTTAAATTTATGTACTGTCACTTTATACTTGTAGGTCAGGTCCTTACTGTAATAGATATAACTATTATGATACACAGAAAATTATTCATTTTAATATTTTATTCAGTGCTTGATATATTCAAGGGATTATATTAACCTTTTTAAAAATAATTTTTTAAGTTGAGCAAAGTTAGGAACTGATATCTATTTATATAAAATTTTATATTTAGAAGCTGACATCAAAGATGATAACATACGAAAAAGGCCACGCGGGGAAAATAAAACTGCAACAAATTTTACATGTGTTTGCTATGTGACAATGGCTGATGTAAACAAGTTAAAGTCACTATTGCTGAATTTTTTATTTTTAATGGCATTAGAAGTAACTGCTCGAAAGATCTTTATTTTCTTGTTTCAACAAAGAATGGCAATATATTTTGGTATATGAGACCTAGTGCATGAGCTTCAAATTCGATTAAATATATCAAGTTTACACAAAGCCATATGTATGAAAGGGGATCTTTTAAAAAAAACTTTATTTGAGAAAGGAAGAGACTTATAACAGAAGGCAAGAAGAGAAACATACAAACAATATATTTACAACACAAAACAAGAGATCACCTTCAAGGGTGTAAATTATAATAAATACAGTAGATTTTAAAAGAGACATTTATCAATTAGCTCTAAGATTATTTAAGTCCAGCTTTCCTTTTCACTGGTTCCAGGTAGTTTCTTGATTAAATTCAAAGACTATCAAATTCAAACAATTAACGTCCACCAACTGTACTGATGAAGCTCTCTCAAATGACATTATAAAAAATAGGGCTTTTTTTTTTTGTTTGTGATTACATATCTTTGCAGTAATATTATACAAAAGCCTGCTCAGCCACATGTTCCTCCCCAAATAAAATGTCTTTTAAAAGATGCACTATCCCTTTTTTATGAGATTGAAAAAAGACTTTAAAGAAAATGTATATTTATGAGATGGGAAAAATAAACAATTTTATCTTAGGAATGTCATATTTTTAATGCAAAACAACTGACAAAAAGTCATTTTAATCTGAAGGAATATACTAACCAAAATATGTTGGTAGTAGGAAGTGTTGCCTATTACAGCTATTTGTCAAATTATCAGGACTTTCATTATATGGAAATGTTTTAAACTTTCTAACTTCTAGTTATGTTAATTTAATTTGAATGGAGACTTTTTAAAAAAGGATAATGTATCTTTAGCAGTAAGCTTTTATAAGAAATATTTTAAAATGTCACAGCAAAATGTAAACAACACGTGCCAGTAACATACAGTTGTACAAGGCCTACATTTGGCAAAACTGCTATATCTCCTTTGAAACAGGATACTCCACCTTAAAATGCCTCGGATTTAGAAATATAAATATTTTAATAGAAAAAAACCTCACAAAGATTCTAGGTCAATTTGGATTATCCATATTAAAGGGGTCTTAATACAACGAATCTTTAACTAGCTTAACAAAAGTAAACCTATAAAACAAGGTAAACATATCAAAAGGGACTATGAAGGAAATGTTCCAGTGAAAAGCTTCCTTAACAATTTCCCTACTTGTGGTGTTATTTTCTTAGACAATAAATCAATTCATAGAGTGCCCTTTAAAAACAGAGAGAGTAAAACACTATCCTCCGTTTTTTTTTTTTTTTTCC